ACATTTATCTAAAATAAAAATTACAGATATTTGGCAATTTTTAAAAGTTTCAGTAATATAATTAAATAAATAAAAAAACAGATTGTTAATAAAAAAAAAAAAGATAAAAGTAAAAATGATGACTTTTTTAGGTTAGTATTCGATTAGGTTGAATTGGAGTTGATTGGAATGAATTTAATTGGGATCGATTGTATTTCATTAGATTATGTTAGATTAGGTGAATCGGATTTTTTTATCAGTAAAAGTAAAAGGTAATGGAATAGGTTATTTATTTATACATAATAGTAATAGAAATAATGGTAATAATGGAAGAATAGCAACAAATAATGTTATAATAAAAGTAATAACTACATTACATTTAGGTTTTAGGGTATAAAATAGATAATCAAAATTAATTAAATTAATCAAAAATTAAAATTATATAAAAAAAAAATTTTAAATAAAAAATAGTTTATTATACATATAAATTTATTAAATAAACATTTAAGAAAATAAAAAATGTAATTTTTCTTTTTCTTTTTTTTACTTTTTTTTAGTTTTTTAGTTTATTTTTTTATTTTTTAATATTAAATTATAAATAATAAATAATAATGAAACATTTAAAAAATAAATTAAATATAAACATTATGTTTCATCATAATGTATACATAAAAAAGGACAACCCCTAATGCTTCCCAATTTTAAACATTTTTTATTTTTTATTAAATATTTAGATCAGATTTGACAAGAAAAAAGTATAATCTATAATTACTCTTTTTGAATTTTAGGATAGTTAATAAAATAAAAATAGCAACCTAAAAGAAATAATCTATAAACCGTGAAAGTGTAACCATATTAAAAGATTAATAATAGTACAAATTAAATAATTAATAATGGGAAATCAATTCTGCCTAAAAAATCAATAAAAACATCCCACAATTATACCATCATTCAATTTTATTTACAAATATAACATTCATATAAAATAAAATAAAATAAAATAAAATAAAATAAAATAAAATAAAATAAAATAAAATAAATAAAATAAAAAATAAAATTTTTTTTCAGACCCAGTTAAAACACTGTATTTTAGTTAAAATTTTTAATAATAATATCTTTAACATCACTAATATCATTTACAAATGCAAAGTGTATTATTGAATCTATATTTGTAATGTTTAAATTTGATTATTTAAAATATTTTGAACTTTATTATAAACTTAGACATCGATTAGATTGAAGTGGAAATTTATTGTTTTATCTTTTGAAGTTTAGTTCTATAGAAAAATAGTGCAAATTAAATAGTTAATAATGGGAATTCAATTCTGCCTACAAAATCAATAAAAACGCACCACAATTATACCATAATTCAATCTAATTTACACCATATTTGATTTATTAATGTAAATATTTTAAACATATAATTTTTTTTTTTTTAATTTTAATTTAAAAGGTTTTTAATGAATTTATAACGAAGTTAATTTATTAGCCTTACATTATATTTAAATATTATAATCTAAATATCTTTTTTCAAAATATAAATTTAAAATCGGGTCTACATATTTTCCTCGGGCACTCTTTACCTCAGGAACTGTGCACTAAAAAAAAAAAAAAAAAAAAAAAATTAAAAATTAAATTATATATATAAATGATTCATTATTTTTTATTAATATTATATTATTTTATTTTTGGATGTTTGTATTGGGTTAAATAAGAAATTTTTTGATCGGGGTTTGAAATGGAGTCATGTTCTAAAGGATAGACCACATCACCCATAAGAGTTGAAGTTATGGAGCCAGGAATAATACCTTTTGTAAAACGTTGAGAGAAACCATGATCAAACATAAGATTAGTTAAATGATTTGGAATTGAGCCAGGTATTAGTTTATACTTGATGTTATTTATATACAACGATTTTACGGTAGGGGGTATAAAATTAAGTGATTGATTAAAGCCATCAAGTAAATATAAATGTATAACTGTTGCTGGAATTGAACCAGGTGTTAATTGATACTTGATGTTTTTTAAATACAAGTGTTCTACGGTGGGTGGTATAAAATTAAGTGGTTGATCAAAGCCATCTTGTAAATATAAACGTAAAACTGTTTCTGGAATTGAATCAGGTGTTAATTGATACTTAATATTAAATATATACAAGTATTTCACGGTGGGTGGTATAAAATTAAGTGGTTGATCAAATCCATCTTGTAAATATAAATGTGTAACTGTTGCTGGAATTGAATCAGGTGTTAATTGATACTTGATGTTATCTAAATGCAAAAACTCTACGGTGGGTGGTATAAAATTAAGTGATTGATCAAAGCCATCAAGTAAATATAAATGTGTAACTGTTGCTGGAATTGAATCAGGTGTTAATTGATACTTAATATTATTTAAATACAAGTTTTTCACGGTGGGTGGTATAAAATTAAGTGATTGATTAAAGCCATCAAGTAAATATAAACGTGAAACTGTTGCTGGAATTGAATCAGGTGTTAATTGATACTTTATATTATTAAAATACAAGTATTGTACAGTGGGTGGTATAAAATTAAGTGGTTGATTAAAGCCATCAAGTAAATATAAATCTGTAACTGTTGCTGGAATTGAATCAGGTGTTAATTGATATTTGATGTTATGTAAATACAAGTGTTGTACAGTGGGTGGTATAAAATTAAGTGGTTGATCAAAACCATCAAGTAAATATAAATCTGTAACTGTTGTTGGAATATTTTTGGGTAAACATCCGATAGGTCCAATAGCAAGATTTCTAATTTCTAAATGACTAATATCACACCCTTCTTCGTAAATTGTAAATTCTAAATTATAAACTTTATTAAAAGGAATTAATTTAAGTATTTTTAGTTTAAAATAAAAAATTTAAAGTTTACATTTTAGTGTTTTTAAATCTAAAGGAATATCAAGTACTTCTATATAACTGTTTGTTAGATCTTTAATTGAGTAGAGATTATTTTGTTTAATTATTAATTGAGTATCTTTATATTCTGGAAAGTTATTATTATTTATATTTGATAAAAGATTGTTACATTGATGATGGTGTTTTAAAAGTTCAATAAATTCATTATTAATATTATTATTATTATTAATATCATTATTATATTTAATAGCATTAGTAATTATATTATTATTGTTTTCTATTGTTGTTGTTATTATATTTTTTACATCTGTATTTTGGTCTAATTCAGTCATTAATAATCTTTTGATATCATTTTCTTTTGCACTGATAATATATTTTAATTCCTTAAATATATTAAAAGCTTTATCAAAATTCTTTGTATGGTTATCTTGAATTTCTTTAAAGTGGTTATTTGATTCATCCAATATTTTTTTATTATTTTCTAAATAGTTGTTTAGTTTTGGAATTGTTTGATTTTTAAAATCATGTTGTATTTGATTTCTAAAATTTATATCATTTAGTTTTTTAAAACTATGGCCATTATGATCCTCGGTAATACAATCAATACAGACAGGAATGTTGTTTGGACAATTTGAGCATATTGAGATAATATCTTGATATGGATGATTTAGGCATTTGGTATTATATTGTTGATTATTTGACATAATTTATTTTTAGGATTTAAATTTATTTTTTAAGAATAATTATTAAAAATAGTTTTAAAACAAAATAATTTTTTTTTATAAATTATTAATTTATATAATAAATTGTATTTTATTATATATAAGGATTTTATAAGTTATAATTTGGTGTGGATAAAAAAATTAAAATCTTTAAAAAAAAATAAAAAAAATTTAAAAATTTATTTTTTAATTTTTTTCACAAATTTGATTTTATTTTTAATTACAAAAAAACGAGATGGTTCGAAAAAATTTTGACCCTTTTAAAATATATATAAAAAAATTTAATTTTAATAGTTACTAATAGTAACTTAGTATGTCAAAAATGACTTTTTAAACCCTGAACCTTTTAGAGATGGATGTTGTGATGAATGCAGTCAAAATTTATTAAAAGTCTTTATTGAATTACATAACATATTGGATACATTAATTATATCCCCAAAGATGCTGAAGAATCATCATCAAATGATGAGGATAAAGAAGAAAAAAAAAAAATTTTTATAATTTTCTCTAAATTTAAAAAGTCTTTAATTAAAATTTTTTTATAGTTTATTTTCTTCTGACTTTTTATTTGTGGTGCAGAATTCTAATACTCTACATTCTTTATATTTTTTCATCAAATCTGAAACATCTTTTCTTTTTTTAAGATTATTTTCTAATTTTAAATAAAGATCGTTTCTTCTCCTTTGTTCCATTACATTTTAATTGTTTGAAAATAAAAAATAGATAATTTACATAATATAGCTTTGACCATACTAAATCAAAACAATATATATTAAAATTAATTTAAAAAAAAAACACCAACAATCATTATAACAACAAAAACATTAACAATTAAAACAGGAATCGAAATAAATTCAAATAAAATTGTATAAAGTAATAAATTTGTAAATTCTTTTTTTTTTTATTTTAATTGATTGTTTATTCTTTATTATAATGTACTTGATGGTAATTTATATGGTAAATTTTCGTAAAAACCACCTTGATTTGGTTGTTTAACAGTATTGTATGCATTAATGGTGATAAAGAATTGAGTATGAATCATGTAAAGTTTTACACCATCTCTTTCATAATATTCCCATGGATAACCTCCCAATACAAGATTAATTAATTTAATGTATAATGTATCGCCATCAAAATAATATTTTGTACCATTACCTGCTCTAACATCTGCTGCACTATTTGCTAATGAAAAGGTGTGATTATAATTAATACCATTATTCCATCCATAATAACTTTTAATTTCAAATGTTGTTAAAGTTGGATAAGGGATTGAAAGGAATATATGTTGACCAAATACAACTTGACCTAACCAAATTTTCATATATTTTGGACTACCTGCTTTTAAATAAAGGTACCAACCCATATTACTAACACCTGTAACACCTGGATTACTATTTTTTTAAATAATAATAGCAATTATTAAGGCAAATTAATAAATAAACAATTACAGAGCAACAATATAATTAATTTAAAAAAAAAAAAGTAATAAACATACCGAGTAACAACTGTACTTCTATTATCATTAATACCACTTCCAAATAATGCAATACTACCAACATTTAATTTATCAAAATCATCATAAACTAAAACACCTTCATCAATTAAACCTGGAACATAAAATTGAATATTTGCAATTTCTTTATCACCTTTTTCACAAACAAAACAAGTCCAATCCTGATTATATTCACAAGTATTATCAAATTTCCACCATAATTCATTGGAACCAACTAAAGCAGGTTGACCTGGTTTCTTTCCAGTTATAGATGAATCCCAATCAATAAAATTAAAATATCTACTACCTGAAGTATTTAAAACATTATGGCCAATATATTGAGATTTTGCAACATTGGTAATAGTAATTGATTTACTTGCAGAAATACCTTGTGGTTTAAAAACATCACCATGTGTCTAAATAGTGTTATAAGTTGTTGTTGTTGTTAATTATAATAATAATTATTTAATGATGTTATAATTTTATGATAAAAAGTAAAACTTACCATAGAAATGATAAGACGATTATCAGCCTCATCATTATTACATTTGCAATCATTTGGACTATTTGAATATTTAAAATAATTTCTAAAATTAATTCTTGTAAGAATTGTTTTAACATAAGTATCTATTTTTAAAAAAAGAAAAATTAATATTAAAATTAATTCAAATGCCACACACTATACTATTAAATACACATTACCATAATATTGGAAACCCTGTTTAGTGATATTAATTGATCTTGCTATATTATTTGAATTACCATTTACCTATAGTTATTATCATTGTTAATAAAAGGATTTTTTTTGATAAAAAAAATAATAAACTTTAATCTAATTTACTTACAATTGCATTAGATAACCAAGCTTCACCAAATAACATTGCAGAACGAACATTATCATGACTATTAAATTTATATATAAAATTAAAAAACAATTAATAAAACTATTTACATAAAAAAAAATAAAAACTTTAAATTACTTACCTTTCGTATGAAACAACCTCAACAAAGACACCCCAGTGACCTATTCCGTAATGTGATAACCATATTTTAGTATTATTAAATCTCATTGGAACTTCATTACCAGATATAACAGTACCATTGGTATAGGTAAATCTTTCAAATCTACCACTATCATAATATAGGAGATTATCAACTGGATTATAGGTTAAATTGGCACCAACATAAATAGTTGAACCAGAAACAAAGAAATAACCCGAACTATGTCCAGTATTGCCTTCAAATACTTTGGTAGGATATGCTTTTGGAATCATTTGAACTGATCTATGATTACCAATTGGTTTTTCCTAAAATAATTATTATAGTTTTAAAATAAGTTAATATTGAACAGATTGTATTCAATTTAAAATTATTAAAATCTTACCAAATTTGGGAATGCATAACCTGCCCAACCACCTTTTTTAAATAATTAATAATTAGTATAATAGAAAGATTAATTTATATTTTTTATAATAAAAAACATACCCGATGCAGAATTACCAATAATAGTATTCCATGCATTTGTAATATAAAACCCGCTAGCACTGCAATCTGCTGGTTGTCTTAAACTATCAGATTCAACAAAAATTTCACCAATTTGAGATGGACCTCCAGCGGGTCTACCTATAAAAAAGAAAATTTGTTTTTATTAAATTTAGAATGGTAATATTTTAAAATAGTTTATATATTAAAAAAATAAACATACCTATTGGATGAACATATGCTGCAAGATTCTATAAATTTTTATAAAAAAAGAAAAAATGTTATTATTAAATTTATATACAAATAATAATAATGCTAAAAAAATCTCTTACAAATGATAATGTATTATCCATTTCAACACCATCTTCTAAATAATAACAATGACCACGAACATCAAATGCAACATTTCTTGTTAATGTTACATTATTAGTACCATGAATAGTATAACAACGATAATAACTTGAAACTACTGAACAATCTGAAATGTATGAATTTTTTAAAACTTTACCAAGATGATAATGAAGTGGATAACGAGCTTTAATATTAGTTTGACCCATTCTAATTAATTGTAAACCAGAGAATTGACCTTCACCCATTACCATAACTAATGTAGTAATCATTTATAATTAATTAACTAAATTTATAAATTAAAAAAAAATCAAATTAGTACTTACCATGGCCACCAAATGAATTTGAATCAGATGATAAAGAATCACCTTGAAATACAATTCTTCTTGATAAAAGTCCAATTTCTGATTGATATTCTTGACCTCCATAATGGAATGATCTTAATGGTTTTGTGAATTGAATAGTTTTTCCTTGAATTGCTTCAATGGTCATAACTTCATTTTGATTATCATATTCATCTAAAAATGTACTTGTAACTACAACAACTTGTTGACCAACTTCCCAATTTACACTATCTTGAACATAAACAACTCTATCACCACTCCATGCTGATACTGCTAATTTAGTCCAAGTATTATGATATTGCTTACCATGTATGGAAATAAAACCACCAGCTGCTACACCAATACCTTTGGAACCATAAAATGGTGCAATAGTATCTTGTAAAGTCTTTTCACCATGAAATACAATATTAATCTTGGCATTATATCTACATTTGGTGGTACCCATTGTAAATTTACCCAAAACATAAATATCTTTGACATGCATTTCCATTGAAGCATCTGCAAAAACCAATTCACTGGTCTCTGGAATTGTAATTTTTTGATAGATTTCAGTTTGTGAAATTGAACATGGTGAAATTAAAACTCTTTTTCCTTCTGGAAGAACAATGTTGGATGATGGTGGTGGTACTACACCATTTGACCAAGTGGATGGATTATGCCAATGAACCAAATCATTTGATTTATAGGAACAAGTAGATTGATCTTGTGGGTCTAATTGTAATGGTGGTCTTGGAAGTGAAACCAATTCAGAATCTTTTAGTAAAAGATTTGATGGTGTGGCTATTGTTTTACCCAAGACAGTTATCATCATATCCTTGATGATTACAGTTGTAACATCTGATCCAGTAAAGGATGCTTTTTGAATTCTAAGTGCAAAAATGGAAGTACCAATATCTACAGGTGGTGTGAAATCTAAAACAGTTGAAATAAATTGAGTGTTTGATGAAAAATCACCTTGAAAAGTTTTGTAATACAATGGAACGATGGTATCTTTAAAGTCAAAATATTGAGAGGAACCCCTTGGATCAGTGATATCTCTTGGATTAAAGAAATAGATGGTCATATTTTTAATATTATTATAGGCATTCAATGGTTGACCCAGTTTCACTGATAAACTAAAACTATGAGCTACATTTGCTTTTAAAGAGGGTGGTGAAATTTTACTAACCAAAAAATTGGATGGTAGTATATATGTTGGATAAGAGACTACAAAAGAATTTTCAACTGGTCCATTTGTAATACTTTGATCTGAATAACCATATTGACCCATGTAAACAATATCATCTTTATTGAATCTAAAATCGGTTGATGGTTGATTAGTGATGATTGCAGGTGAAACTGGTACAACATCAACAGCAGGACTAACTCTCCAACTTTTGTCGATTGGACAAGAAACTTCTTGATTTGTAATGGTAGTTTTACCAGTTTTAGTATTGATTGATAAGATTGGACCACCATCAGCACATGAACCACTTGAAGCTTGACACTCTCCATTAATTAAAATGGAACCACCATAACCATTATAGAAATCTAAATTAATATCTGAACTACTTGTTAGATTTATATTAACATCTAAAGTTGAAAATTGTAATTTCTTTATATTAATTTCTTTTGTTGAACAAATATTTAACAAAGAACCGATTGAAATTTGATTTAATTCTACCAAATGATCTTTTGCATTTGTACAACTATCAACTATTAATGAATCTGCATTAATACCATTAATATTTGATGAACCACTACCCAACGTTAAAACCAATGAATTAAATTTAAAAGTTGATGGTACTTTAATATCAATAATAATTGATAACTCTGATAAATTAACTGAATGGGCTACATTGAAAATTCCAAAACTTGATAATAATATTATTATTAAAAATACAAAAAAATTGTTTGATCCACTTTTACCATTTTTAAAAAATAAACCACTAAATGAATATGATATAATACTTGAAATTATTATTGTTATTAATGAATTGAAATTTATTGTTGTTGTTGTTGTTGTTGTTGCACCACTAACTGTATTATAGTCACCAAAAGTTATAGACTTTTTATCGTCACTAACCCTTAAAATATCATTAATATCTGTAGCATCACCTGACACTGATGTAACTATTAATTTTGGTTTTGAAATAGTATCATCAATTAAATAATTAATTTTGGTCTAAATTTTTTTTTTATATATTAGAATGATAAATTATTATTATAGCAATAGATAATAAATAGTGCATACATCAACAACACTGGCATCAATTGTAATACTTTTTTCGGTGATTTCAATTTCACCCAATAATTCTCCTTTTACAAGATGATTAAAAAAACATGATAAAAAAATAAAAAACAAAAAAATGAAAATTTTTAAAAATTTCATTTTAAATAAATAAATAAATAAATAAATAAATAAATAAATAAATAAATAAATAAATAAATAAATAAATAAATAAATAAATAAATTTAATGAATTTAAAATTTTAATGGTTTGAGAAAAAAAAAGAAAACCATAAAAAAAACAAAACAATAAAAAAAAAAAAAATTCACAAAAAATAATAAATATCCAAAGAATCTGTTTTTAAAAAAATCAATATTTGTCTTTTTTGCATATTTGTGGAATCATGATATTTTTTTAAATAGAAAAATAATGATAAATTAAATTAATACTTTTATTATTGATCAAAATTTATTTTTTATATTGATAAATAAAACATACAATTATGATGATTATATAATTTTTTTTTAAAAAATTAATAAATGGCTCATATGATAAAGACTATCCATTACCCAAAATACCAAAGCCATCAACAAACGCCACCAATAATTGAATATACCTTCATTTTGGGCTTCTTGGCAATCGAAACTATATTTGGTTTATTTTTGATATTGCTACACCAGCTATTCATTATACTGTGACCAACATCTGAAGGTTTATTGTTTGGTGAATTTTGAAACGTGGTATATGTATTATTTAATCTAACATTACAACTTTCAAATTTTATCCCAAGACGAATATTTTATTTGATTGTCAAAAAAATAAAAAATAAAAAATTTAAATTAAAAAAAAAATTTTCAATTTTTTTTTTTATTTTTCCAAATATTTATTTTTTCAAACAAATAAAATAATTATTTTCGCATATATACTTATTAATCATAAAAAAAAAAAAAATGTTATATTAATTTTGTATAATTAACCACACCCCCAAATATTTCCTTTTTTTTTTTTTTTTTTTTTTTTTTTTTAAATTTTTTAAATTTTTTTTTTATTATTTATTTATATGATTTTATATAGATATATAAAAGATGAAATATTAAAATAAAAAGAGTTATGAAATTATCTCTAATATTATTATTGTTTATTATTTTTTTAATCGATTTAATTTATAGCCAAAATACAACTAAAATTCCAAAATTCGATGGTGTAATTCAGAGTATGTAAAAATAGTCGCAACAATAAAAAAAAATTAATTACTAATAAAATATTTTTAGATTTTTATGTTAACCCAACAAGTAGTTATTTTATTGACTGTGGAGACAGTATTAATAATCCCTGCAATTCAATTAGTTATATAATTTTAAATAAAATTAAACCAAATATTACTTCAACAATATTTTTGGCAGAAGGCGTTTATAAAGGAAATTTTAGTTTTGCTTTAACAAACTATATTATACTATTCCAAGGAAGTGGAAGAGATACAACAACCATTGATTTGGAGTTCAGGCAAAGATTATTTATTTCCACCATAAGTGAAATGCATTTTAGTGATATATCAATAATCAATGGATTTGGTAACCCTGTTGCTGGTATATTTGATGGAGGTGCAATATATGCATATGATTCACAAATTCATTTTAACAGGGTTAATTTAAAACATAATAGTTGTATTACTAGTGGAGGCGGTATATTTTTATATAACTGTAAATATTAATATAAATAAAAAAAAAGAAAAAATTTTTAATTTTAATTTATTATTTTTATTATAGGTTATTTTTTAGTTCAAAATAGTTTATTTAAAAACAATACATCAACAACAGGTGGTGCAATAATTTTATTATTATCAGAATCAAGAATAGAAAGTTCAACATTTATAAATAATAAAGTATATTTCGAAGGTAAAGGTGGAGCAATAGAAATATTTATTTCATTCGTAGAAATAAATCTCTCAACTTTTGCATACAATGTTGCTCCTTATAGTGGTGCTATTGATATGGTTGGGGGTAATTTGACTGCACGTCAAACAAATTTCATTGAAAATAGGTCGAATATCGGAGGTGCTTTGGGTCTATATTTTATTTCAAAAGTTCATTTCTTTAGTTGTCAATTTATATCAAACTTTGCAAATAATACTGGTGGTTTAGCTTTTTTAACATCCCAATCCTTACTTAGGTTTTCAACATGTATTATTAAAAATAATTTTGCCCCAAACTGTGCAATAGTAGAGTCTCACTCAATTTCTCCGTTAGGTTTTGATGCCTGTTCTTTTTTTGGAAATGTCCCAACATCTGTGCAAATCGCTCTATATGATAACTATTGCTTTTTGAAAATCTATAACTGTTATTTCGAAAATATTCAAGGCGTTTTACTTTATGCAGATTCAATTTCAAATATAGTAATCATTGACTCTTTTTTTACAAGTAAAGTATAATTTATTTTTTAATTTTTATTATTATGTTTATTAATATATAGTACTATATATTAATTATTATTAGATGTTAGTAGTAGGATCATTGATGTTGGTAATGAAGCTGATATTTTAATCATTTCGTCATCATTTTGCAATATTGCTGTGGACGAAGTTTTGATATCACTATCAAATGGTAATTTTATTGGTTATGATGTTATCTTTGAAAATAACATTGTACTAGCCCTAATAAAGTCATCATCTGGTGGAAGAGTAACAATAGATTTGGGTCAAATGAAAAACAATATAGTTTCTACTGGGTTAATATCACTGTTAAATGGTTATTCAATTTTTGTACAAAACTCAATTGTAAAAAACAATACAGGTTTATTTGTAAGTATTTATTTCTATTTATATTTCTTTTGAAATAATTTTTATAATATTAACTTTTTATTTTATAGAAAGGATGTTTTATTGATGCTGACCATAGTGGTACTGAAACAATTTTGAAATCTGAATTTATTGATAATGTGTCTCCTTTTGGTCCAATTTTATATTTTTCAAACCCAGAATTAGATATTTCGACCTCTCATCCATCAAATTTTACAGATATACTATTTATCAATAATACAGCAGCATTTTCTGGGGCATTAGTATATTTTAGTCAAAATGTAACCTTACCAAATATTACTTGCACCGATTGCGAATATATTAACAATACTGCAAGATTTGGTGAGTTGGTAAACTCTGCATTTTATTCATTTAATGTATCAATTCCAAAAGTTATTTATCCATTTCAAGATTTAACTATCGAAATATTTGCGTTAGATTTTTTTGGTAATTTAGTTAGAGGCACCTCAGATCTTGGCTTTTTTGCTATTCCGTGTTCCGATGCATATGTAGATGGCAATTTATTTTCTGTTTTAGGTGAAAATGGCTCTGCAATATTTTTAAATATTAAACTATCATCAAAACCAAATACAAATTGTAACATTACATTTTTATCTGTACCAATTTTACCTGAATGTAAGTATAAAACTTTAAAATCATTATTAAAGTTTAAATATATTTGCTAATAAAAATTTTTAATTTATAGCTGGGTCATTAGTAATTCCTATTCAATTTTCAACTTGTAACCAAGATAGAGAATTAGTATTAATTAAATCAATTTACTATTGTTTAAAAACAATTAAAGTAACCAATTTTGTAAAATATTTAATTGGTGTATTGGCTCTAATATTAGCAATTATCTTAATCTTTTTTGGGTTTATAGCTATAAAATATAGAAAAAAAAGAGTCATTCGTTATTCAAATCCATTATTCTTATTAATAATTTTAGTAGGCTGTATTATATTTTTAATAACCATTCCACTTTTATATTCAACAACACATGCAACCTGCAAACTTAGGTTTCCTCTTATTATTATTGGTAGTTGTCTAATTACAACAGCAGTTTTTATAAAACAATTTAGAATTTGGAGATTAATTAAAGATATCCAGTTATTAAGAGAAACTAATGTAGAAAACAAATATTTATTAAAATTTATATCAATTTTAATGGTAATACCGATTGTAAGTCAAAAAAAAAAAAAAAAAAAAAAAAAACCTGAACATTTTCAACTAGTTGGATTTCCTAATTATTTTTTAAATTATAGATAATGACAATTTGTAGTTTTTTTTTATTCCCAACCCATGAAAGATATTCTTTCAATCAAAGTGATGTTACTATAACTCATTATTGCTCCAATGGTGACTATCTTGTTTATGTAATTTTATTTTTAGTTTATCAAATGGTCATTTTATTATTTGGTTGCTATTTAGTAATTGTATGCAGAAAATTTAGATCCATTCCTGGTACATTTAATGAGGCTACATATATTGGTATTTTAGTAGGTATATTTAAACCATTAAATATTATTTTTAATTATAAATTTATTAATTTAAATTTTTTTTTATAGATTTATAACTATACAGTAGTTTTAATAGTTGCAATACCTTTAGCATATGTTTTTCATAAAAACCCTTTAGCAAATTTTTTAATATTTTCAATTTCAATTATAGTATTTGTTCTTAGCACCATAATATTATTATATATACCAAAGTTTCACTTTTTATTAAGAAAGAAAGCCATTATATCTTCTTTGGAAAAATTAATTAAAGAACAAGAAGCAATTGTTCAAAGAAATAAAGATATTTTATATTTCTATGATATGTATTTGGCTGAAGAAGATCCAAATCATCAATATAATCCAAATTCAAACTATCACCCATCATCTCTAAGAAGAAGGTCAACTTTCAACAATCTAAATATGACTGGTTTCTCTGATACGTCTTCTGATACTTTTTCAACTATATCAAGTAATCTATCAAATGATATATTTTCTAGTGATAACTCCTCCAGTTCATCACAATCACCACCTCCAAAAAGAAATACCAAAACCAATTCAAATACAAGTAGTATTGGTAGTACGAGTGATCCTGATTTTGATAAAAATACATATAATTATTATAGGGATAATTTTAAAAATAAAAAAAATAAAAATAAAAATAAAAACAATAATAATAATAATAATAATAATAATAATAATAATAATAATAATAATAATAATAATAATAATAATAATAATAATAATAATAATAATAATAGTAATAATAATAATAATAATAATAAAAGCAGTAATATAGATAGTTCAGTTAGTAGTTCTAGTTATAATAGTACAGATAGCTTAAATAGTCCAAATAAATATACACCAAATACATATAGGCAAAAAGTAATTGATAGAATTTTTAATATTAATAAACCAACAACCCAAGATAAAACTATTGAAAGCAATACTATAAATCAAGAACAAACTGATGAAACCCAAGAAACCGAATCTAAATCCAGCAGCTTAGGTCAAAATAGTGAATCAAAAAAAATTAATGTAAACTCACCTAAAAACAATTCAAGTAGTTCAAATAGTAATAAAACCAAGCAAAATATAGGCAATAATAGCAGTAAAGATAATAGCTCAAGTTATAGTAGTACAGATAGCTTAGATAGTCCAAACAAATATACACCAAATACATATAGGCAAAAAGTAATTGATAGAATTTTTAATATTAATTATCATAAACAAGACGAAAACAATAGTGAAGATAAAATAGAGAATAATATAGTTAATGATGAATCAAATGATGAATATTTAGGATCCTCTAGCTCAGATAGTTTAAGTCAAGGTAGTGAATCCTCAACAGAATATAAGGAAAGAGTAATAGACAGAATATATAATATTAAAAATACATCCCAAAATAAAAAATCAAAAAAATCAAAAAATAATAATATTAGAAAAAATATACCATTATCACCAATGTCCTTGGCATCAAATTCTAATAGCATAACATCATCACCAATAATAGAAAGAAATAAACAAATTGATAATAACAATAATAACAATAATAACAATAATAATAATAATAATAATGAAATTTCAAGTCCAAGTAGTTTAGATAGTTTAGATAGTAATAACACAGATTCATCAACACCATATAAAGAAAAAGTAATCAATAGAATATTTAATATACACAATAATAACGATAGTAATAATAATAATAATAATAATAATAATAATAATAATAATAATAATAATAATAATAATAATAATAATAATAATACTGAATATGATATCGAAAGTGATAATTCTCCCGATTTTAATAAAGATATTATATAAATTTTTTAATAAATAATTTTATATTATAATAAATTTTTTTTTATTTAATTAAATTTTTCTAATAAACCATCAACCATTGAATTACCATTTATAAGCTTTGTTGTTAAAATAATAAAATCACGATTTGCTTGATCTTGTCTTGAAAGGAATCTTAAAGCGGAAATTTCGGAAAAAGTTACCCCACCAATAAAATAAACCAAAGTGATTGGTTTACGATCACTTTTAACATTTGAAGTGGCACCTTGTGGTAGAGGTTGAATTTCTTCAAAGGTTGGACCAGGTAAAAGTCTAAGGACCTCCTCAATATGTCTCCAGCCACCTGGTCTTATAGCATGTTGAATTAATCTAACTGACAATGGAGCATAACCTGAATAAGTATAAGCGATATCGTTTGGGCTTTGTTCATTTAAATCGTCCACAATTAAATGTAAATCTTTACGAATATTTGGAAAAGTTGCTCTAGTATCTGATTTACGAATTAATCTTAATGACTCTAAATTATCTAAAGTGATTTTATGTTCGAAACCATAAGTTTGAATAATTTCTCTTTTAAAAAAGTCTAATTGCTTTGGTTTGATACCATTATGGGTTGCGCTATAAAGTATAAGTAAACGTAAAACCTTGTGGATCATTTCTTTTTTATTGATACAATCCTCTATATAACTTTCTACATTTTCTAAATTTACGCCTGCTAATAAATTTTGTTCTGCTTCGATTCCCTTCATAAAACTATTTGATTTTGTAACCTCTAAAATTTCTTCAGTGATACAGGTATGGATACGAAGTGAATTATGTTCCATTTGATAACTTGAAAGTTTTTTCATATAATCTCTAATAGCACTAATTGATTGAGTAGTTTTAAACATTTTATAATATTCGTCGATATCTTTGGCTTTCTTATTTAATAGACCACTTAAAACTGAAAAGTTGGTATCTCTAATTTCACTATAAACTTTATCATTTGAATGTAATGGGAAAGGCACTTTCTTGCCAGTTGGTGGTGGAGGAGGTGCATTTGGTTGCTGTTGTTGACCTTGATTTGGATTTACAATACCTTCATCTAAAAATACAGCATTATTATTGATACCAAAAGTTTCATCAATTAAACCTTCGTATGTTAATTGAGTGCACATTGGTGTAATAGTATCTACCTCTCTATCTAAAAGAATGAGTGAATCGATTTCTGGTGGTACGGTTACCTCTTCACTCATTTCCTTTCTCATACGAACGATCATATCCATTACTAAACGTGAGCATTGACCTTTACCTTTGACAATTGGAATTGTACCAAACATTGCTTGAAGCTTCATTAATGATTTTGCTACCCAAAATAAGGATGTTTTTTCACCATCCAATAATAATTCCCTATATGAATTTGACAACTCTAATGAAAGAACATCCTCATCAAATGGAACAATATCTAATGGAAATTCATGAATTACAAAATTACCCATAACACCTTCCTCCTCTAAAACTCTTGAACATAAAATAGTTGCTCTTGGTACAAATACAATTGAGTATTCTTTTCTTAAATTTTCTGATTGATGTTGTCTAACGTGTTCTGTAATCCAGTACATATATTTAATATTAGGTCTAACAATATAAACTATATTTTTGCATTCTGTATCTAATCTACCTTCTTTTAATTCATATCTTTTTTCACCACCATAATTCTAAATATAAAAATAAACAAATTAAATATATTAGTTATTTAAAAACTTTAATAAATAATAATTATAAATAATATTTACCTGTAAGAATGTTGGATCAGCTAATAAATTTAATAAACCAATTAATTTTGGATCCATAACAATAGCTTTTGAACCTTTAAGGGTACTAATTGCATCACCTAAATCCAATTTACTTTGATCTCTAATTGATGTTAAATTTAAAACTTTACTTGAAATATTTGGAATTTGTGATAAAACAATTGGTTTTAATTGTTGTTGTGGTTGTTGAGGTTTTTGTTGTTGTGCCATTTGTTTACCACCTTGTTGTGTTTGTGGTTGAGCAGGTTGTTTACTTTTAAACATTTTAAAATAATAATATTTAATCTATAAAATATAGATTAATAATTTTATTTGTAGTTTTTAATATTTAAGAAAAATAATAAAAATTAAAAAAAAAAAATTTTAAAAAAAAAAATTTTTAAAAAAAAAAAATAAAAAAAAAATAAAAAAAAAAAAAAAAATAAATATCTATATTAATTTTAATGAATAAATACTTTTTTATTTTATTTTATGTATTATTTTAATATTTTATAAAACTATTATTATTACAATTTTTTTTTTAATTATCATCCAAAGTTAAAATATATTCTAATAAAGAAACAATACCATCAATACCCATTTCTTTTAAAAACTTTTTAAAATTTTCACCATCATTATAAAATAGATTTGTCATTCTGCTGATAATAATTGATTTTTGTTGTGGACCTAAACTGTCATCGGTTAATAGATTGATAAACTCATCATAAAGTGGTGATATTTTTTGAGATGGCGAATTTTCACCATCATTATTATTATTATTATTACTATCTTCATCATCTTGATAATCTTCATTTGAATCGTTATGATTTTGTTGATGGTCATGAGAATTTTGATTTTGTTGATTTTGTTGTTGATTTGAATCTGGGTATAGGTCATTGGACTCTTCAATTGATTCTGGTATAAGTGATTCTAAAATTTCTGGACAATCATCAGATGGTGGTGGTGGGGGTAAATCTAAAACACTTTCATTAAAGATATAGCCACGATTTTCAATTAATAAAGTAATAAAGTTGCAATGTGATTGAATATTTGTCATATGGATTTGGAATTGTGGGTTACTATTATTTGTATTTACAGATCTAATTGTATTTGGAGCAAAGCATACACCCAATGCAATTGGATTCATTTTATTAATTGATGATTTTGTTGAAACCTGTTCTAAATATTCCATTAAATATGAAAGCACTCTTAAATTCTCTGATGGTAATTTATTTTGCATAAAATCTCTTGCCTCATCTGCTGTAACTGGTAGTGGTGAACAAAGCTCCAATGGGACCAATGGGAATTTAGTTTCTCTTAAATAAAGTTTCAACAAACCAGCCAAATCATGTGGATTTGATGTTGTAGATGGTATTGGGTCATGAATATTATTTAACATTAACCAAAGTGATCTGATTGATTCTGCATTTCCATTTACTCTAAATAAACCTTCATTCTCCAATGCGTTGGATTTCTTTAATGCTGTAATGATTTTGAATATATTTATAAATGATAGTGTGCCAGATCCAAATGGTGCTGATAAAATGTGCTTTTCATACAATGAATCTCTGCTTGGTCTTGATTTAAAAAATCTCTTTAATTTACCTGAAATAATGGTTGATTTGGTTGATTTCTTTGGTGATGGATGATGTAAAATATTATGTGTTGGTTGAATGATTGGTGGTGTTTTATTATTACTACCATTTAAATGTAATGTACCTCCTAAATTTGAATTTGATACTGACTTTGTTAAATGTGGAGATTTTGGAGGTGAATCATTATTTGTATTATTATTTATTTGTGGTGGAACTTTTAATAAAGGTGGAGGAGCTTGTAATGGTGCTGGTTTAACATTTGATCCCCCTACATGTAAAAATGATCCACTAATTGGACCACTAATAGCCTTATTTTTATTTACTGACATGTTTATTTTTATTTATAATTATAAAAAAAACAAAAAAAAAAACACTTTTAAAAAAAAATTTTAAAATTAAAAAAAAAAAAAAAAAAAAAAAAAAAAACTTTTAAAAAAAATTTAAAAATAAAAAAAAAAATAAAAAAATTATAATAAACCATTTATGATAAAGTTTTCATTGCCATTATTTTATTTTTTTAAAATTTTTTTTCTTTTTTCGTTTTTTTTGAAATATTTTATAACCTGCCATTTTTAAATTACAATAAAATAAAAAAAATTGGATTCTTAATTTATATATAAATATTTTTACTTTTATTTATTTATATAATTAATTTTTTGTCCTTTTCCAATTTAAATAAAGATGATGAGTATAAAAAAAAAAATGGAAAAAAAAAAAAAAAAGATTTATTAATATTTATCTTTTTTTCTTTTTTTTCCATTTTTTTTTTTTTTTTTTTTTTTTTTTTAATTTTATTTTTTTTGTTTATTTTTTTTTAAAATTTTTTTTTTTAAAATTTTTTTTTTTAAAATTTTTATATTTTTTTTTAAAATTTTTTTAATATAAATAAATAAAATTTTTAATATAAATATATTTAAAAAAAAAGTTATTTTAATTTTTATTAAAAAATTAAAATAAAAAAATAAAAATAAAAAAAAAAAAAAATGGATATTGAGTTGTTTTTAAACAACTTCAATCAAAATTGTAATATCAATAATAAAATAAAAATCAAACTATTGGTGGAAGTAAATGGGTCAAATTATGAAAGATCTTTAGAAGGAAATAGTGAAACTTTAAAACCTTTAGTACAAAAATTAAATGTAAGTATTTTTAAATAAAATAAATAAATTAATAAATACTAATTACTTTTTTTTTAATATATATATAGTCAAAAATTAAAAAATATGAAGATTCAATAAATAAAAAACAAAATTTTGTAACACCTGGAAAAGGATCAACATTAAATCTATTACATAAAAACTCAACAGCAAATTTATCATCACCATCTTTAATACATAGAACATCACCAGATGTATTACCAATGAATCAATTAATACAAAGCATGATTCCTACTGATCCTACAGTATTTGGTGTTTCAGTTGATAACTTAATGGCAAGAGAAAGATCTGATTCAAAAATTCCACAAATAATATCAAATTTATTAAATGTAATATAAATAGATAGAAAATTAATTTTTTAAAAGTTTAAAATACTAATATCTAAATTTATTTAGAATTTATTTTTATATTCATTGGGTGTTGAAGGTTTATTTAGAATCAGTGGTTCACAAATTGAAATTCAAAATAGAAAAAATTTAATTAATAGAGGCGATTATCATTTTTCAAGAGATGATAACCCACATGTTTTAACTGTATTATTAAAGCAATTACTCAGGGAACTACCTGAACCAGTTTGTACAAATGCCTTATACGATTTATTTTTAGCATCTTCAGGTAAATAATTTAAATTATTTTTTTTTTTAAATTATAATTTATATTAATAACTATTTTTTTATAGATCAAATTAATTTCGAACAATCAAAAGAAAATGGTTTTGAAGTTTTAAAGAAAACTATAAATAGTTTACCAATACATAACAGAAATTTATTACAATATATTATATTATTTTTAACATTTGTTGGTGCAAATAAAAATATAAACTTGATGGGACCAAGTAATCTCAGTAGAGTATTTGGACCTAATCTATTTTGGAAAAAAGAAAGTGGTCCATTAGATATTCAAATGCTTCAAAGTGCAAGTGAAAAGGTTAATTCTATTACAGAACAAATGATATTACATTATAATAGCGTTTTTGAAGAGCCATTAAGTTTATCATTCAACACATATCAACAACCACAGTCACAGTCCACACCAAATTTAAATCTAGTACCAACTGGCAATTACAATAAAAAGTTAAATATAAACTCAAAACTTTTAGGTCACAACAAGTCGATTCAATGGATGGCTTTATGCGATACAGATCAAAAAGTTTGGAGTTTAGATTCACATGGCTTTGCTAGGATATGGGATGCTCAAAATCAATGCTTTATCAAAGAGGTTCCAATAGCTGAGGGTGCTGCAGTTTACCAAATGGTTTCTGCTTCGGATAATACAATTTGGGCCGCTTCTTCAAATAGGTTATCAATTTGGGATGTTGATGGCGGTTTTATTGGTGAAGTGCCAGGTGAAGCTTTTTCAGTTTGCGAGTCTCAAAATAAAGAAATTTGGGTCGGTGGATTTAATGTTTTAACCATATACCCACTCGAGGGTTTACCAAGTAAATCAGGTGGTGAACCAGTTAAACCAATTGGTACAGATTTATTTATGAAGGGTACTATTATTTTAGCAATGTGTAAAGTTGGTTCAAATAGAATTTGGGGTTGCTCCTCTGAAAAAACCTTATATGTTTGGGATTCTAAAACTAAAGAAGTTATTCATACCTCTGAAATTCAAGAAAAAAGACCAAAAAGAATGACATGTATCGATATTGATGATTTAGAAACTATTTGGATTGGTGGTGATGAAGGTACAATTCAAATTTTTAATTCAAAAGTAATTATAAAAAATTAATTTAAAATATTTATAATTAAATTTATTTCCTAACTAACTTTTAATTATTTATTATTATTTAGACATTTAAATTAGAACATAAAATTCCAAATTTAGGTTGGGATAAAATATTTCATCTTACATCAATTGGTAATTCAATTTGGGCAAGCTTTTGGGATACCACAGTTAGGGTTATTGATCCAAAAACAAAAGAAATATCAATGGAATTTAAAGGTTTTCATTCAGATGTTGTATCTTCAATCGTTGAAGTTCCAAATCATAAACCTGGTGGTGAATCATTTATTTGGTTAGCTTCTTATGACAAGTCAATAACTATTCATTCAATGGTAAATAGGGAAAAGAATGATATGGGTCCAAATAATCCAAATGCCAATTGGAGTTTTACAAATATTAAAAGAATTGCAAGACCAACAAGACCAGGTTTTTCATCAAGAGGTTAATAATAATAATTTATAAAAAAAAATCAAAAAAAAAAAATAATAATAATAACAATGTAATATTTAAATATTCAATTTAATTGAATAAATTTTGTAAAAATGAAAAATATCTAAATCAATAAAATAAAATGAAACAGTTTTTAAAACAAATAAAGTTTTAACATCTTTTTTTTTAATTATTTTTATTTATTTATCGCAACTTCCATATGAAACTCCATCTATTATATTTCCAAAACCGTCATTGTTGAAAAAATCTGTAACATTATCTCCTCTTGAAACATTATATAACTTTAAAGGAACCCAATTTTTAAAGCATGCTTCAACGTTATTACTTATAAACGAACCAACCTAAAGTAAAAAAAAAATTAATAATTTATATGTTATTAAAAATTTAATTTAAAATACCTACATGATTATGTAAAAATCTTGGTAAATCTCTATAGGTATGTGTAGCTCTCCATACAAAAACATCACCACTATAATTTACATCTTTAAAAAAACATATAGAATTATTAGGGCAATTGTATGAATTATCTTGACATAAAGAATTTATAATAAAAAAACTATTTATTATAAGAATTATAAATAATTTTGAATTATTTTTAAGAAACATTTTATATTTAATAATTAATTAACTGATTAATTAAATAATAATTTTAAAAAAAAAAAAAAAAAAAGTTTTTATATAAATTTTATTAAAAATAAAAAAAAAGAAAAAAAAAATAAAATAATTATTAAAATATAATTAAGATTTTACAAATAGTTTAAAACAACCCAAAATATCATTTATATTTAATCTTTAAATAAAAAAAAAAAATAAAAAATTTACAAATAAATCTTTTCTATTTTAAAAATTATAATACTATTTTTATATAGATCTAATAAAATAAAAAAGAATTACTTTATTTTTTCATTTTTTAAAAATAAATCATTGAAAAATTATTTTGGGGGATTATTAAATCTTGCGTTTGTTAAAGTTAATTGATATATATTTGTGGAAGTATTGTAACTTAAAATAGCAGAAGTGAAATCTACTGATTGTAAACCCTTATTATAATTATTAGAGTTAAATATCATACGACCTTCAAAATTTTCATTAACCAACCCAAAAGTATTATAGGCGCCATCAATAAATAAATAATTTAAAAAAACTAAAAAAAATAAATAAAATTAATATATTTTAAACATTAAATTTAAATTATTTTAAATAACTCTTTTACCTTGACCATTTACATATTCTAAAAAATAATCAATAATTAAAAAAAAAAAAAATATTAATAAAACTTTTTACTAATAAAACTATTTATTTTTTAATTTACTTTCAAAGTTACATGAGAACCCTGAAATCTTTCCATTAATTCCTTTTTTAGTAATAATTATAAATTGATTTGGGGTTTGTAAAGAATCATAGCCCCTTGGACATATGGATGCTTTTGTGTAATCTGATTTTATAATTATAATATTTATAATTGTTAAAATAAATAAAAAAAGAAATTTAAACATTATTAACCAAAATTTTCTTTTAAATAATAAAAATAAATAATTTTAAATAAACAAATTAAAAATAAAAAAAATAATATAAAAAAAAAAAAAATCAAATAAAAAAAGATAAATAAAAAAATATATTTTTTTTATCAAAAATAATATTAAAGTATTTTTTTATTTAATAATTTTAAAAATAGTATTAAATTTAAATTTAAATTATTATTATAGTTATAACTATTATTATTTTTATTATTTCTCTGAAATATTATTGAGTTTTATATTTAAATTTTATTGTTAACAATTGTTTTTTTTTTTTTTATTTATTATTATTATTATTATTATTATTTTATTCACTATAACCATCAAATAAATAATTTAAATCTTCTAATGTTTCTAAAAATGAATCTTTATCGATTATTAATCTTTTTAATTTTTTTGTTTCTGTAATCTCTTTAAATCCAACTGAAATTTTTTTTAAATATGAAGAAATTAAATTTGAATTTTGTAAATGTGTTATAATTGTATCTGAATTTTCAATGTGACCATTATTAGTATTATTATTATTATTATTATTATTGTTATTGTTATTATTATTACTATTTATTAAAATTGGGAAATGATTTTGTTTCATTTTAAATGGTTGATTTATATTACATATATTACGATTTAGGATTGGTTTTCCATTTCCAAAGTTATTATAGCTATTAACTAAATAGTTTTTAAATAAATTTGAAATGATGCTATAGTCGTTTTCTAACTGGAATAAATCATTTTTTTGAATTTGTTCGTCACCAAATAAATTTATACCTCTGATTGAAATGATTTCATTTAGTGGATTACATTGGGTACTGTCAATATTTTCAATAACTGGAGAAAGGTAATTCATCATTGAATGTCTATATAGTGGTTCATTTGGGAACTTTGGTTCGTTTTGGTGATATCTATAGATAAAACCCATTTTTTCTGTATTTAATGGGAAACTACTTGAAAGAATTGATATTCTTCGATTAGATGTACTGGAAAGATGATTTATGAACGATGATAAATTTTGATCTTGATAATTTGACCTATAATATAAAGTTGATGTATCAATTGAAGCTGCAATCTCTGCTGATGTTTGATATTTGGTCTTTAGTATATTCGAACCAAGTAATCTATGTCTACTGGAGGACCACCAGTTTTGGCATGAAATGGGTACAAAAAGATTTGCTAAACTATCTGAAGATTCACCCACTAAGGATTGCATTAATCTTGCATTGTTATAAATTCTTTCATCGATTGCCTCCTCTTGTTTATTATCTATTGATTCACTATATTGAGATGATGAGAATACGCTAACGGCCCTTGATGAATACTCGTCCTGCAAATGTAATAATACAGATGTACTAATTCCACCCCATATTCCATCACTGTCAATAAAACATTGAAAACCTGAAAAACAATCACACTCCTCTATAATCTTTCTAAGAGTATCTTGATATTGATCGGTAAGTTCATAGTTTGATTCTAATAACTCTATGCCATCCTCATATAATAAGCCATTCCATTCATTTGCTCCTGACTCATTTATATTGCTATTTATACTATTTCCTGAATTTGTTGTTAATAATGAATCGGGTATTGATATTAATCCTTTGCCATTATAATCTATATTTAAATAATCTGACCAATATTCAAAATCAACCTTTGAATTATCAATACCTGAATTATTTCTATCGATTGGTTTTCCACTGGTATTCTTTAATATTTTTGTTACTTTTTGATTTGATGAAAATTCATTATTATTACTGTTATTATTATTTGTTTGTTTGTAAACTCTACCTTCGCTATTCATCGACCCAAAATTGTTTTTAAAATCAAATAATAATAACCTAGGTGTAAATTTAATACCCTATATATTTATGAAAAGAAACAATATGTAAGTGAAATATCAGATTATTAATATTTAAATTTATGTTTACATTTTCATTTGATGAATCATTTGATCTAAAAAGCATTGAAGGTTGGATTTCGAATGGGATTTGTTCTCTTTTACAATACTGATAGTTTTCTTCTTGAATATTCCAATAATGGGACCCAATGAAATTGGAATAATTACCAATTTGAATGGTAACAATTTCTTGTTTTTCATTCATTTTAATTAAAATTGAAAAAAATAATAATAAAAATTAAAAAAAAACGAAAAAAATTAATTAAAATTTAAAAAAAAATAAAAATAAAAAAATAAAATAAAAATTGATTAAAAAAAATAAAAAAAAAATTAAAAAATTTAATAAATTTTAAAAATTAAAAAAGATATTTAAATCTAAATCAAATAAAAATAACAAACTTGAACTAAATCCGTATCTATTTTTTTTATTTCCTCTTATTTTTTGTTTGTGAGAAAAATATCTTTTCAGAAAAAGAAAAATAAATTTCAAAAATAAAATAAAATTTTTTTTTATTTTTTTAAAAAATTTTTTAAAAGTTTTTTTTTTTTTTTTTCTTTTTTTTTCCTAATTCCAATTAATAGTAAAATAAATAAATAATAATATTATTTATCAATATATATAGAAATAAAATGAAAATTTCAAATTTAGTTTGTTTATTTGTTATTTTTAGTTTATTTATCAATTATAGTTTTTCGTTAGAATCAACTATTTCCATTGAAGGCTCTGATGATGCATTAGTTTGCGAAGCATGCACCTTAGTTTTAGAATTTTCAGAAAAATATTTAGCAGAAAATAAAACTGAAGAAGAAGTTGTTAAAGGTTTAGATGATTTCTGTAAAATTTTAAATAGTGAATCTGTATGTAATTTTATTGAAAAAAAAAAATTATGATCTTAAATGTGCGTCATAATATTAATTCCATTTTTTTTTTTTAATAGTGTGATTTGATTGTTAATAATTATGCTTCTTTAATTGTCAAACTTTTAATTAATAATGAACAACCAAGTGCTATTTGTACAATGTTAGAGTTATGTCCAAAATCTAATACAATTAAAATACCAATTACTAATAACGATCCAGTTAGTTGTACAATTTGTAAATATGTAACAGAAAAAGTTGAAAGTTTCTTTGTATCAAATACAACTGAATCAGAAATTATTTCATTTTTATCAAATGAATGTAATGCACTTTCATCTGATAATTGGGTCATAACCTGTCAAAATCTTGTAGAAACTTATATTCCAATTCTTTTAACAACTTTAGAAAATAAAGAAACCCCAGCTGTTTTATGCGGTCAACTTAATTTCTGCGAATCATCATCATCATCATCAGCTCAAGAAGAAATCTTTTTAAATGTAGATAGTGAGGTCGAATGCCCACTTTGCACTTATGTTGCCAGCTATGCAGAACAACTTATTGCCTCAAATAAAACTGAAGAAGAAATTGTTGGTTTCCTTCAAAATGAATGTGGTAAACTTATGAAGAAATTCTCAACTGAATGTTCAGCTATGGTTGCTGATTATATTCCAGATATTATCACAATGATTAATAACAACTTTACACCAGCTCAAATTTGTCAAAAAATTGGTTTATGCCCAGCCCCAACCAACTCACCACAAGCTGTTCCATTACCACAAGTAGATAGCGAAGTCGAATGTCCACTTTGTACCTACGTTGCCAGCTATGCAGAACAACTTATTGCCTCAAATAAAACTGAAGAAGAAATTGTTGGTTTCCTTCAAAATGAATGTGGTAAACTTATGAAGAAATTCTCAACTGAATGTTCAGATATGGTTGCTGATTATATTCCAGATATTATCACAATGATTAATAACAACTTTACACCATCCCAAATTTGTCAAAAAATTGGTTTATGCCCAGCTCCAACCAACTCACCACAAGCTCTTCCATTACCAAGTTTTGATCTCAATACTGATATTGAATGCCCACTTTGCACTTATGTTGCAAGTTATGCAGAGCAACTATTCGAATCAAATAAAACCGAAACCGAAATTATTTCATTTATTCAAAAGGAATGCACTAAACTCCCAGCTAAATATTCCGATATGTGTGTAGCTATGGCCCGTAATTATATTCCAGAAATCGTTACTATGCTTGAAAATAATTGGACTCCAGCTCAAATTTGTCAAAAATTCAAATTATGTGTTGCCCCATCCAATCAAGTTAACGATTTACAAGATGATTGCCAAGTTTGTGTAGTTTTAGGTAATTATGCAATTCAAATGAATTATAAAAATGCTACAAGCACCGAAATCTATAATAACCTTATAGCAATGTGCAAAGGTTTACCAAAGAATTGGAATTATCCATGTTTCGAAGTTATGAATCAAAGAGGTCATCAATTAGTCGATGATATCATTAAAGGTTATTCATCTGGCAGCACTTGTTCAAATATTGGTTGTTGTGGTGGTTCATCAAATTCAGGTAGCTCATCAGGTTATTCATCAGGTTTTTCATCAGGTGGTTTTTCAGGAAGCTCAGGTTTAATGAAATTCAATTAAACAACTAATTTTTTAAAATTTTATATTATGTTCGATTAAAAAAAAAATTATATATTGTTTAAATATATAAAAAAAATAAAAATAAATAATAATATCTATTATTATTTTTAAATTGTATAAAAAAAAATAATTCTTTTTCATTGGAAATATATAGATATAATATTAACACAACATATGTTTTATTTTAATGTATTTTTATTTAATTTTCAAAAAAAAAATTTTAATTTTTATCTTTGTTCATTTGTGGAGGAAGATTGCGATGATGATGATGAGGAAGATGGTGATGAACTGGTCGAGACTCCTATTAATCCAGAACCTGCAATAGCCCTAACTAATCTTTCAAATGGCATTGATTGTAATACTACCATACCTGGTCCAGTTATTGCTGCGAATGTTAAACCTTCGCCACTGAATAAAATATTTTTAACACCTTTAACAAACTTAAAAATAGTTATTAAATTGATTAGAATATTTTAAATAACATTAAAAAAGGTAATAATAATAGTTACCTCTATTTGAAAATCAACTGTTGATTCAAAAGCTACAATACTACCAGTAGTTACCCTAATTTTTTCACCAGGACTTAAAACTCTATATATTACCGAACCACCAGCATGGACAAATACCATTCCATTTCCCCTAAGTTTTTGCAATATAAAACCTTGCCCACCAAAGAAACCTGTTGAAAAGTTTTTGGTTAGTCTAGGTTCAATTTCAACTGTATCTTCACCACATAAAAATGCATTTTTTTGACAAATTAATTCTCCTCCAACATCAGATAATTTAATTGCTAATATTTTTGAAATATATGGTGAGCTAAATGTAATTCTCATTTTTTCCTATATTATAAAAATTAATATATAAAAATAATTTAAATTATTTGATTTTAATAATACCTACAGTTTCTGATTTATTTACAAATTTTGTTAAAAATAAACCTTGGCCTGTAAACATTCTTTTAAAACTTGATAGAATTCCACCTCTTGCTGATGTATCCATTTCAATCTCTGACTCCATTTCTAATAATGCACCTGTTTCTGCTGTTATTGATGAACCTGGATTTAAATTCATTTGTATAACTTGTGATTCTAAACCAAATATTTCCCACTAAAATATAATATTTTTTAATTATAAATGATAAATATTGGTGAGTTTTAAAATTAAAATAATATTTTAATAATAATTACATCAAATGAGGTAGCTTTTCCTTTTAATGATTGACTATTTTGAAATAATGTGCTTTTTTTAATAAAAGTAGCATCAATCGAGGTTTTTAAATTTGTTCCATTATTATTATTGTTACTTGGTGGTGAAGGTGGTGAGGGAGTGGATGTAGAGGAGTTTCTAATATGAGTATGTTTTGGTTTTGTACCTCTCGAGTTTGTTGGCCCTATAAACTTACAAAGTAGTGAATTTCCAAACACTAAATGTTGAATAATTAAATTTCTTGTAGTATTTATAACTTCTCTTGAATACATTTGTTTTCTATTTTAAAAAATAAATATAAAAATAAAAAAAAATAAAAATAAAACAAATAAAATGAATAAATTAATAGATTATTTAAAAAATATTATATAATTATATGTTTAATTATTATGAATAAACATAAAAATAATTATTTATTGTTTGTGTGATAAAGAAAAAAAAAATAAAAAAAAAATAAAATAAAAATTAAAAAAAAAAAATTAATGTGTGTATGTGGGGTTGCTACACATTGAAACAAAGCATATTTTTTTTTTTTTTTGAACTATAAATAAAAAATAAATAAAAAAAAATAAATAAATATTGTTGAACTATAAATAAATTAATAAATAAAAATAAATAAAAATAAATATAGATTTAAAAAAATAAAGAATAAAAATTATCTTTTTTTAAACTATTATATAGTTATAAAATAATTATAATAATATATTATCATAATTACAGTTTTATATAAAATTCTTGTAAACAATAAAAAATTTTTTTTTTTTTTTTTAATTTTTTCAATTTTTTAATTTTTTTTTTTTTTTTTTTTTTTTTATAATTTTTTATCACCACCTTTAAAGCTAAATGAACAATTCATCGATATTTATAAATAGATTAAGACAAGAATTATCGCTAATAGAAAAAGATCCACCACCAGGTATTCAAGCATGGCCTATAGAAAATCGAATAAATAGTTTAGAAGCAATAATAGTAGGACCACAGGAAACACCTTATGACAATGGAATATTTAAATTGGAAATTTCTCTTCCCAATAGGTAATAAATAATAATAGTAATAATAACTTTTGTTTTATAATTTTTTTAAAGATTTATTTTGTTTTATTTTTTTTTTTTTTAAAAAATAAAAATCTATTTTTCTTTCTAATTTTAATTTATTTTTTAATTTTATTTTATTTTATTTTTAGATATCCTCTTGAACCACCACAAATCAAATTTACAACACCAATTTATCATCCAAACATAGATTCAAATGGTAGAATTTGTTTAGATATTCTAAATATGCCACCCAAAGGCGAATGGAAACCATCATTAAATCTTTCAACTGTGTTAACTTCTATAAGGTTATTAATGTCAACACCAAATCCATATGATCCGCTAATGAATGATATTGTAAGTATTTATCTACCACTACTACTTTTTAATAAAGGTTTAATATTAATAGTTTTAAAGAATGAGGTTTTTAAAAATAATTATAATCAATTTTTCAAAACAGCAAAACAATGGACAACAAGACATGCTACAGATCAATCAAATAAGGATGATGATGATAACAAAGTGTTTAAAAAGAGAATAAGGGGTGATGAGGAAATCGAAGATGAACCTTCACCGAAATCAAATAAAATAATAAATAATAATAATAATAATAATAATAATAATAATAATAATAATAATAATAATAATAATAGAAGAAATATTACTAGTAACAATAGCAGTGATGAAGAGGATGAAGAGAATAATCATAGAGATAAAAAATCCAATAATAGTTTTAACAATATAAATAAAAAAGATGAAGAAGAAAGTGATGATGATAGTTGGGGTTAAAAATTTAATCAATAAAGATTATAAAAATGTATATAAATAAACAATATAAAAAAAAAGAAAAAAGTTAAATTTAATTATTTAATTATTTTATTAAATTATCTACAACATAGTTTTTTCAACTTTTACTTTATTTATCTCTTGATATATATTTAAAAAATACTAAAAGGAAAAAAAACTAAAAGGAAAAAAAATGTTTTTAAATTTCTATAAATATTATATTATAATTTTATAGTTTTTTTTTATTTACAATTTATAAATACTGGTTTAAATTTTATTTTTTTAGATAGTTAAAAAAAAAAAAAAAAAATTATTTAATAATTAAACTAAATAATACTATATATTGTTTTTTTTTTTTTTTTTTATATATATACAAATGATTTTATTATTCTTTTAATTTATCCAAATCATTACATTCATCAAGTGTACAATAATTGCAGCTACCGCTGCTTATACTTGAATTTACTGTGCACTCTGTGTCAAGGTTTGCAGAATTTCTTGAGGGTGTCGAACCTGGGGGTGTTGAGCTTGAGGGAGTATCGCCATTATTGCTTTTGCTATTATTACTACTGCTACTGCTGCTAGAACTACTTGTTGTACTACAACTACTATTACTACTTAAAATACCACTTGCATTGCTATTAAGACTACTATCGATACTACAGCTACTACTTATTGTCATCATACTATAACTACTAGAAGTATTGCTATAAAGTGATTTATTAATGTTATCAATTTCTTTCATAAGAGTTGAAATATGTTTTTGATCACTGATACCAATCATTTCCAATAATAGTTCATCAAGAGTTGAAATTGAATTCATATCGAAATAACCAAACTGTAAAAAGTTTTGAGTATACTGAATCAATTCCATACGATCCAACCAATTGCCTATAACTTTATTTGGGGACATTGCATAACTGGCTGGTTCATCTCTTTCTTTTCTATTGGCAAAGCTTTCGGGTGATACTACTTTTACAAACTCCATCAGGTCATCTTCATAGTCATCCAAATAATGGGTATCAAGATTCCAATGGCCTGCATCTTTAACTCGGGTAAATTTGAATAAATTATTAAAGAGTTTCGATAATTTTTTTGAACTTTTTATATTAACAACTTGATCTTCTTCTGCGTGTATTAATAAAACTGGACACGTTATTCTTTCTACTTTTTTTAAATGTTCAAATGCATCCAAGGATAATAATAAATTTACAATATTATCACTTAGTCCACCAGGACCAAATGAATTTAATAATATTATACCACCAACTGATTTATACTGTTTACATGATTCGACTGGTGATGTGGGTGATTTAATTACAATGGTTGAATTTTTAGATTTTAATAATTTTGGAAATAATGTTGAGGCAAATTTTAATGTTGTAATTGTACCTATCGATTTACCCATTCTATAAAATAAATAATGAAATAATATTAATAAAAAAAAAAAAACTTTTATTTTAGATAAATTAATTAATGTTACTTACAATATTATATTTTTTGAATTAATTTTTAAAATACTTATTAAATAGTAAAATACTATATTTAAATCTTCATAAGATTCTTTTAATGAAGGTTTACCACCATTTAAACCAAACACCTGTAATATCATAACATAATATATTACATTGAAGGATATTTACTAAAATTTTCATATGCTTTCTTGTTAAAACCTATATCCTCTAAATTACCAGAACTATATAGAATTGTAAATTTTTGAGTCGTATTTTCCTTCTCTTGATCTCCATTTATGATATAGACATGGAATTGATTTGCCTGGGTGATTAGGGGAAGTAATAAAGAATAAATCGTCCAAGTCTTTTGTATAGGATGGGAGTGGTGGTTGGAATAAGATAGAGTCTTTAGTAGATTGACCACTTGATTGAGTACGTTTCTTTATACTAACACCCTGTAATAATGATTGAACTGAATTGGAGTGTGATAAAATTGGACGGGGAGATGGTTTATTGTTTTTGGCCTCTTTAATTTCGATAGTTGGTACAATTGAATCGTCGACACCTCCACCAAAAACTGAATATAATGAAGTACTTGGGGAAAGTGTTGTTTGGTTATATACTATTACACAATCTTTATAATTTTCTAAACCAACAGTTTGGTGAATTTTAAATAAACATTCTTTTGTACTTGCATTTAGTGGTAATCTTAAAATCTTTGTAATAATTTGATGAGATTCTGGAAACTTTACCCTAAGCATAATTGAGTTGCTATCTGCATTGGAAGATGAATCTTTTGAGTTTAATGAACTTGAGCTATCATTTCTATCAAATGATGATAATCTATCAATGGATGAACGATTAGATTTTGGTGTATTATTACCACTTGCAAGTAAATCATCATTAAGACTACCAATACTACTATTTGTACTATTTCTATTTGAACTTGTATTTAAGCCATTACCATTACCATTGGTTAAAGATGTTGATGTTACAGTTGTTACAACACTTGATTCACTTTTTGTACTATTTCTATTTGATTTTGAATCAAGATGCTCTTGAAATTTATTGGTTAAATTGATATTAAAATTTATATAATCTTCCTCATTTAACTCTTTTTTTGTTGATGATATTAAAATTGGTGTATTTATTTCTGGTGATACAATTGAACTGGTTAATTTATTATTTGGTATTAATGAATTTGGTCTAGTTGTTGATGATGTTGATGATGTTGTTGTAGTTGATGATGTTAAAGAGTCTGTAATATCTGTTAAAGATGATTCATCAGTATTTGATTCTGATAAACTATTCATTTTAAAAATCTTTTTTTTTTTTTAAAAAAAAAAAAAAAAAAAAAAGAAATTTATATTATAATATAATTTATATTATTATTTAATGATATTATTGTTGTATTGTTACAATATTATTTTCATAATGATTAAATTTAAATATTAAACTGTTATTTTTTTTTATTTTTTTTTTGATTATTATTATTATTATTATTTATTTCTTATAACTACAATTTGATATTATTTTTTGCTGTGGATAAATTATTTTAATATTTTATTAAAAAGATTTATAATTATTTATTTATTTTTTGATTATTTTCTAAAAAAAATATGGGTATTAATATACTAGTGTATAATTTAAAAACTATTTTAATATTAAAAATACATGAAAAAAAGAAATAGAGAGAAAAAAAAGAGAATGGAAAAAATAATAATAAAATAAATAAAATAAAATAAAACAAAACAAAATAAAATAAAATAAAAAAAAAAAAAAAAATATAAAAAGAGTATTATAGTGTGTTGGTGTGTGTTTGTTTGTTATTATAAATATTTTGGTGGGTGGGTGTTTTTGTTTTGTTTTGTGTGTGGGAATGTGGTTATTAATTTTTTTTTAAATAATTTTAAATTATTGTGGGGGTAAAATGTTTTTTTCTTTATTGATATCAATACTCTATTTATTAATTTGTTTTAAGTGTGTTCGATATTTAAATAATATTAAAAAAAAAATTGAAAATGTTAGGGTGTATTATTATTTTTATTATTACTATTATTATTATTATTATTATTAAAAATATATAAAAAAAAAAATCAAAATGATAACACAAAAAAGAAAAATATCATCGTAGACATAAAAAAACATTTTAACGCCATACCAATAAACAATTTAATATTATAACTAAAATACTTTATATAATTATAATAAACTATATTGAAATGAAAATAAAAAGTGAAAATAATTAAATATACATATCATTTATATATAGGAGTGAATAAAATGGGTGGGTGTGTGATTTTTATATGGGTGTGTGAAGTTATTTTTAGTTATTAATGTATGTTACACACATATACATACATACACAGACAAATATGTCTATGTTTATGAGTATGTCTATGTGTATGTATGTATATGTGTGAGTGTGAAATGAAATTATTATAATGATTAAATTATATATTTGTTTTTGTTTAATAATAATAAAAATTATAAATAAATTTAACTGAACTCAAAAGTTTATTTTTTTTTTTTTTTATTTTTGACCAATTATAGATTATAGATATTTCACTGGTTAAAATAATAAAAAATGATGGTTATATATAAAATAAAATATAGTTGTCTTTTTACAAATTTATTATTTTTACTATTTTTATTACTACCATTATTATTATAGTTTATAAAAAAATGATTAAAATTGATAAAAAAAAAAAAAAAACTTTGATGTTTAAATAATCAACAAATAAAATGTAAATTACTTTTTTATTATTACTACTTTTATTATACTACAACAACTTCCATGTATTTTTATTATTATATATTTATTTTAATATTATATTTTGTTATTATATTTTAAATTTAATAAAAAAAAAAAAAAAATTTTGTAGTTTAAAAACTATTTTTTTTTTTTTTTTTTTTTATAATAAAATGAATAATAAATAAAAATTTTTATTGTAAAATTAATTTGAAAAAAAAAAATTTTCTATTTTTAATAGTTTTGGGGTAATTACCTGTAAAACTAATCTTTTTAAATTGATTTTTAAAATAAAGTTTAGAAATTATTTTAAAAACTATTTTTATTTGATAAATAATAAATATAGACAAAAAAACAAACAAATAAAAATAAGTAAATAAAATTAAGTAAATAAAAATAAGATAGGTTAAAAAAAAAAAAAGGTTATTGTTTGCTGTATGGAATCCATAAAAAAAAAAAAAAAAATAAAAAAAAATAAAAAAAAAAAAAAAAAAGATATTTTTTTGATTAAAATAATTTTAAAATAATAAAAAAAACAAACTGTTTTTTTTTTAACTATGAATCCATAAAAAAAAAAGGAATTTAAAAAAATAAAATAATAAATAATAATAATTTTTATTATTTAAAATTATTTCCAAAATCTTTTTTTTTTTTTTTGAAAATGTTTTATTCATCTTGTAAAATGAACGATTTTGATTTTGGATTATTATTGACTTTGATTAAAACAAAAGTTGATAAAATTAATAACCCAATTTCGATTATGGAAAGAACAATACCATAAATACCAAGAGTTAAAAATAAAGCTTCAACATTTCTTTCGATAAGTGGTCCACAGTAACCGTGCTTAGCATTACGTTTTGTGAAATGACGGCAATGGCCACCTTCTGTTTCTTTGGACCATCCGCAGCATTGGTGTGATTTCTCAATTTTTTCAATGAGACCACCCAAATAGTGTAATGATCTACCGTGATGATAATTTCCAATGTGGCTCCATACTTTTTCAATCTTGTGTTCTAATTTATTTGAATCTCTAGTAAGGTAAACCATTTTACTGCTTACACCAACCAATGCAATTACTAATAAAAATAATAATACCATATAGCCCATATGGAACTTAACTTTTTTTTTCCAAATTGCAACAATACCAACAATTGATACTATTACCATATATGCAGTTAAAACAAATGAACCAATAGGTAATGTCATTTCCTTAAGTAAATAATAGTCATTTAAAAAATAAATTGATAAACCACTTAAACATAATAATATTGTTGATAAAAACTATTTTGAAGTTAATAAAAAAAAATTTTTGGGTTAATAAATTTTTTTATTTTTTTTTTGGGGGGAAAAAAAAAAAAAACATACCATAACAACAGAGTTTATAATTATAAATGGTCCTCTAACAAATCTTGGTGTATTGGGATTAATATCTATGTTATCAATAAATGACATTTTTAAAATACAATTTTAATATTAAATGGTATATTATTTCAAAATAAAAAAAGATAATTATATTTGTTATTAGTACAAAATGAATAAAAAAAAACAATATATAAAAAAAAAAAAAAAATATAAAAAGGTTTTTTAAAATATAAAATTTTACATTTTAAAATGTAATTTTATAATTTATTTAATTTTCAATTTTAAAAATCATAATAAAATAACCCATGTATATTACCAAATAGAATATGAGAATTCTTTAATTTTAATATACACCACCCATTGTGGTTTTCCAATATTTTAGTTAATAAAAATTCTATGACATACCCACACCCACATTTTTCATTGACTTTTTTTTTTTTTATTTTATACATATAACTATTTTATATATTCGGATCTAAATAAAATGGGATTAGAATTATTATTTAATTTTAAGAAAATTAATTTGAATAAAATAAAAAAATTATAGTTATGTGTATATTTTAAAAATAATTTTATTTATTTATAAATTTTTTTTTTATTGAGGTTTTTTTTTATATTATCAATTATATATATAATTATTTATTATTATTTATTATTATCACTATTATTTAATTTTTTTTTGAAAATCTTTTTTCGAGTTCAATTTCCTTAAGTTTTGATGATAATTGGGATGTAACATCAACATTGTAATATGGAGATAAAATGTTGTTAATGGTCATTTCTCTTAATTTTTCGTCTGGAATCATTTCACCGAGTTGTTTAAGATTCTTTTCGACATCAGAGACCTCTTCTTCTTCTTGGGCAGCAGTGGTATCGTTTTCTAATGATGACATTAATTGTTCGTTATAGACATCGATCATTTCATTACGGTGGTCTTTAAAGAATAATTTAGAACGTACTTTTTTAACGAGTGGGGTAGTTAAATCTCTTTCTTTTAAGTAATTGATATAGTTTGTAAATTCGTATGAAAGTTCGTCAGTGATTTCACCTTTAGCAGCTTTATCTCTAAATTCTTTAATTTCTTTAGCATATTTGGTTTCAGTTTCAGAATCCAATTGTAATGTTCTAAAATCGACTTTATCTTCATCTTGGAATGATGGAGCAGCGTTATAACGATGTTCAGATGATTCAACAGAGAGGTAAGCTGAAGCAAGATTATCTGTATCTTGTTTTAATTCGACTTGACTATTATCTTTGTAAAATTCTGAATAAAGTTTTTGATGTTCGTTCCATTTATGTTCGGTTATAGTAAGTGATGGGTTAATACCAATCATTTCTTTAACTAAATATTCTTTGGCAACTGAAACATCGGTTGGGTCGCTGGTATCTCTAACGAGCTCTTTAATTTCTTCATATCTTTCTTCTTGTTTACCAATATTAGTGGTTAAATCTTGAGCCTTCATTCTGGCAGCATCTGCATTTGAAACAATATCTTTTTTATAATATTCAGCGTATTCTTTGATATCTGTTGGTAAAATATATCTTTCATAGAATGAGGCGAATGAAGTTTTCTTTCTTGGTTGTTTAGTGGTATCAACATTTGGTAATTCATTATTATTGTTTTCATTGTTATTATTATCATCTTCATTTAATAAAACTCTATTATTATTGGCATCTAATAAATAAACTGGATCGATTGAAGATTCACCTTTAACAACTCTATCAATTTCATCAGATACAAATTCTTGGAAGGTTTCTTTTTGTATTTCTTTATCTTGTAATTCTTTTTCTTCTTTTTCAATTTGTTCAATATATTTGTTTTTGTATGCATCGGTGATTGTTGATTCATATAATTGATTTGGTGAATAAATATTTGTTCTTTGGAGGTCGATAGCACCATCTTCACCAAATACTGGACCCTTCATTGATTTGAGATCTTCAACACTAATTTTATTTAAAATATCTTTCTTTTCTTCTTCTGGTGATCTTTGGAGGATTTCTTCTTCAAAAACGAAATCATTACCATATTTCTTTTTTAAGATCTTTTGTTCATTGATTGGGTTTAAGTAGATGTTATCGGTAACACCTAAAACAGTATTGATATAAAGCTCTTTGAATTCAACATCTTTTGAATCTGATTTATTGCCTTTGATAATTTCGTTATATTTACTGAGTTGTTCCATTGAATCGATATTTGAAAGATCAGAGCTGAGGTAATTTTTTTGAATATTATAATCTTGTGATACTCTTTCTTGGACACCAGCACCATCTTGTCTTTCGAGGTATTGATGAAGTTCGTTTGAAATTTGATCTTGTAAGAAAAGATGTCTAAGGGTCTTAATAGCAGAAACGGTTGGGTAACGAGAGTATTTATTTAAAGTGAAATCTGAGGCTGATGGGAAAGAATCATCTTTTGAAACGAATCTATCAGAGTCTACACCAATTTTAGATTGTTCTAATGAGTCTTTGGTGAAGAAATTCTTTCTAAGTTGATTTTTAATTAAAGTGGTTCTTTCGACTTCTTCTGGTATACTATTTATATCGGCTAAAGTAATGCAAAAATCATCCTCTTGTAATTTGGCTTCGTCTGTTTCTCTTTCATATCTTTCCAAGTCTAAATCTCTTTCGTGGAAACCCAAAAGATCAGATTCAAGATCTGGTTGCACTTGTTGGTAAAGTTCTTTTTCTGTTTCTTCTAACTCTTCTTTAATTAAATCGCTTGATTCTGGGACATATGAATTTAAACCTGGTTTATAAATAAGGTCGCCTGCGTATGCTGGTGGATTGAAATAAAGATTTTCTGGTACAAGGTAATAATCGGTAACTTGATAACCTGCATGTACTGCATTGATATTTACATCACCACCTAAAACTTCTTGAGCGAATTCATTCTTCTTGTTTTCTTCAGCTTCATCATTTTCATAATCTTCATCATATTCTGAATTTGATACTGATTTGAAATCCATATTGGTTGCGCCACTATTTTGATTATTATTTGAAACTTCTTTTTTCTCCTCTACTACTGGTAAAAGTAATACTTTTTGAAATTCTGGATGTTCTCTAATAAATGTAAAATATTCAATTGGTGTAAAGTTTGAAATTTGTGAAAATTGTAATGGTGAAATATCATTATATTGAATTTTTAATTTTAATGAAGTTTCTAAAATTTCTCTATATATTTATTATTTTATTAAAAATTTAATTAAACAAAAAGTTAATATTTATTTATTTTTATTTTAATAAAAATATTAATATTATTTACCTTTTTTCAACATTTAAATATTCAATTCTTCTATTATTAACTTTTTTTGCTAATGATTGAATTAATTCTAAATGAGTTTTTGGTTGGAAAGATGGGATACCAATTTTAGTTGCTTGAGTTTGAATTAAATCTAATTCCATTGATCTAATTTCTAAATTCTTGACAACATCTCTTTTTGCTTGAAGATCAGCTTGATTTTCACTGAAACCCTTTTTAAGATATTGAAGTTTTAAACCAGCAAAATTGTATGAATCTTGTGAAAGACGACCATCACTGAGATAACCTACTTCCCTATGTGTTTCTGCAAATTCTTTAGCATAATTTAAGAGTGGTGATTCGATGATTTCGAGATTTTTTGGTTTTTCTGGGTCGAATGGTTCTCTAACTCTTAAAAGTGCGGTATAACCTGCTGGTGGTGGTATAATACCTTTCTTTACTCTGATATGAACAGTTCTTAAAAATGAATTCATTTTGTTTTGTTTTTTCTTTAAACACAAAAAAAAAACACACAATTAAAATTTCACTTTTAAAAAGTTTAACTACAAAATGATAATATGAAAAAAAACAAAAATACGACAAATTTTTTAAAAAAAAAAAAAAAAATTTTTTCAAATTTTTTTATAAAAAAAAAAATTAAAAAAAAATGATCAATGAGAGAAAATATTTCCCCACATTAAAAAAAAATTTATACGAAAAAAAAAAAAAAAAAAAAATTTTTATTTTTTTTTATTTTTCTTTTATTTTTTTTTATTATTTCTAAATTATTTTTTCATTTTCAAATCATATAAAAAAAATCAATCATTTTACTAATTTGGTGTGTGTTTTTTTTTTTTTTATAAACAATAAACAATCAAAATGATCAGTTCATTAATTAAAAGAGCCAATTTAAACACTACTACTAATATTTTTAAAAGAAATTACTTTAAATCAAGTAGTTTTGTTAAATCAGATGCTTTAAGTAGAGTATGTTTTTTTAAATGATAAAATTTAACAATAATAAATCAATAATCAATAATCAATAATCAATAATCAATAATCAATAATCAATAATCAATAATCATAATCAATAATCAATAATCAATAATCAATAATTAATAATCAATATCCTCAATAATTATTAATTAATAATTAATCAATAGTCTATAATAATAATAATAATAAAACACTGATAACATATTATAAATAGATTTCAATATATATTAATATTGGATAATTAATTTTTTTTTTTTTATAATCTCTAGCATATCGAAACTGAAGATAATAATGATCATACACCATTCGATTTTAATCAAGAAAATTTAAAAAAAGCAGAAAAAATTTTAGCTAAATACCCAAAACAATATAGACAATCAGCATTAATTCCATTATTAGATTTAGCACAAAGACAAAATGGAGGTTGGATTTCATTAAAAGCTATGGATAAAGTTGCTCACATTTGTGGTATTCCACCAATGACAGCTTATGAAGTTGCATCATTTTATACCATGTTTAATAGAACTAAAGTTGGTCAAAACTTTGTTCAAGTTTGTACCACTACTCCATGTATGTTAAGAGGTAGTGAAGAAATTGTTAAAGCTTGTAGATCAAATTTAGGTATTGAAGTTGGTGAAACCACAGCAGATAATAAATTTACCTTAGTTGAAGTCGAATGTTTAGGTGCTTGTGTAAATGCCCCAATGTTATGTGTCAACGACGATTTCTATGAAGATCTCACTCCAGAATCTACCAACAAATTATTAAATCAAATTAAAAATAATGAAACTACTAAAATTGGTCCACAAACTCATAGAAAAGCTGCTGAAGGTCCACATGGTAAAACTACTTTACTTGAACCACCAACCGGCCCAATTTGTAGAGAAGACTTATAAAATCAAACACTTTTAAAATAACAATAAATAATTACAATTATAATAAAAAAAAAAAAAAAAAAAAAAAAAAAAAACAATAATATAAAATAAAAAACAAATAATAAAAAAATAATAAACTATATAAAAAAATATATACTTTTTAAATAAAATTTTCAAATCAACATTTTATTATGTATATTAATAATAATTAAAAATAAAAATAAATATTTAAAATATTTAAAAAACTAAAAAGATAATAATAGTTTAAACATTTTATTTAATTATTCATTTCTTTTTTAAGACGTATTTGTCTCATACGTTTATTTGAAAACCAATTATCAATTTGTGATTTTGATAGTTGACATGAGGCACCCAAGATTACTTTTTCATCTTCATCTGGATATGGGTTGTTTAGATGTTTGTTATACCAGTCATTCATACGCGACTCTTGCTCTTCCGATAGGATACGACGACTTTTATATTCTTTTGCATTCTTTTTTAATAATTGTAAAACTACATTAGCAGTATTGCATTTTTGATAGGATTTAACTATATTGAATATTGATATAATTTCTTTATTCATTGATTCTAATTCACTATTTAAAGTTGGGCGAATGGACTTTATTTTATCGCCTATTATTTGAATACATTCTAATCTTGATTGTAATTCTTTATCCAAATTGCTTATTTCTTTTGTATAGTTTGTATTTAAATATTGAACTGGGTTTTTAAAAGTTGGAACATTAATCCTATCTAGTTTTTGTGATTTGATATAACTACTAAAAGTAAAGTCTATTTCATATGAATAATATTTTAATTTATTATCTATTATTGGCAAAATCAATATATTGTTGTAATTATTATTATTATTGTTGTTGTGGCCATTATCGTCATTCCTAATTGATAGTTGTAAACACTCTGTTAAAAATGAAAAAACTTTTTCATGAATTTTTGGATAAAAATCTTTTATTTTTTTAATTTTATTTAATCTATCTACCATGTCATCATTATTATTAAAACCATTATAACCATCCTCATCAATTGAATCCGGGTCATTTCCACTGTCACTTATAATACTCTCTGATACCTCATCCTCGCTATCAGTTTCAAATAATAACCTATTATTGCCCATATTACTATTATCAAAGCTATTATTATTTTTTAATTCTGAGGTACTAAATTGGAAACTATTGTTATAAAAAGTACTGTTTGATATTGTATAATGGTCTAAATTATTACTATTAATATTGTTGTTATTGCTTTTAAAATCTGCTTCATTTGTTTTTAGTTTTTTATTACTATACAAAACTGAGTCTAAAATTTCTTCATATGATAATGCATTATGCTCTATGGAATTGCCATTAGTATCTACATAACCATTATAGTTTAAATTAATACTGTTATTATTGTTATTATTGTTACTATTATTTACATTGCAATTACTATTATCATTATTATTATATTGAACAATCATTTGATTATAATCAATACAATTGTATAGGCAATTATTTATATTATCATTGAAACTATTATTTATATAAAAACTATTAAAATCATAATTATTATTATTATTATTATTATTATTATTATTATTATTATTATTATTATTATTATTATTATTATTATAATTTACACTATTTACACTATTTACACTATTTACATTATTTACATTATTGTTGGGAATAATGTGAACATTATTATTTAAATTATTTACATCTTGGTATAATTCGATTGGTGTATAACTATCATTATCAATGATCTCTTGATCATATTGAATAATACTATTATTATCTTGTGGTGATACATTATTTTGATAGTTATTATTATTGTATTGAGAAATGAAAACTGGGTTATTAAAAAACCAATTTTGTGGAGATTGTCTACCACCCTCATCACCAGTATAGATATTGTTTTCTTTATAAAATAATAAAGCTGGCTCTAATGATGATTCACCATAACAATTATTTTCTATTACTATTTCATTATTTTCATAATTACTTATGTTATTATCTATATTATCTATATTATCTATATTATCTATATTATTATTATTATTATTATTGTTATTATAGTCTATATCCATTTTAAAAACTTTGGTTTTATAAAATATTATAAAAATTTAAATTATAAAAAAATAAAAAAAAAAAGAAAATTAATTGTAATGTGATTAAAAATGAAAATAAGCTATTTATAAATAAATTTAATTTTAAAAAATAAATGAAAATAATAATTTAAAACAATTATTAAATAAATTTGTGTAAAGCTATTGCTTAATTAAAATGAAAATAAGAGGATTATGTATTTATATGTGTATTGTGTTTTATAAAAAAAATTGGAATGGGGTGGGTGTTAGTTTTTTTAAAAATTTATTTTTATTTTTTATTTTTTTTTAATTAAATTTTTATAATTTAATTAATTTAATTTAGTTTTGCTTTCTTTTTAAAAGGTAAAAATGAACTGTAGCACGAACTTCCTCTGGGCCCAAATCATCTTCAAACATTGCGTGCATCTTACGCTCGTTGAATTTCTCTGATGTAAAGTTGAATGGTTCTTGTGATGCTAACTCAAAGAAATATAAATCCTTTGCCATTCTATTTGGTCTATGATGTGAAAATGTAACAAAAATCTAAACAGAACAATAACAATATAAATAATAAGTAAATTATATTATAACAATAAAAAAAAAATAAAAATAAAAATAAAAAATATCTTTTTTTAATTTAAAACTTACAATACCGTCATCTGATAAACAGTTTGCGCATGTTAATAACATTTTATCTTGTGTAGCATGATTAAAAATAAGATCTGAAAGAATAATAATATCAAATTTTTCAGTGGTTGGGTTTTCTAAATATTCAAATAATTTTTCTGGTTCTTT